TGTTAATAGTTTTATGTTGTTTGTCTACCAAATCTTCGGTACGCTTTAATAAATTATATTCTGACTCCAATACAGACGTCTGGTTCTTCCATAAATTTAATAAATGATTTTGGTTTTGTTTGACCAGTTCAATATCCTTTCTATACTGTTCCGCGAAACGTTCGTCCAATACGCCGAACAAACTATTTGCTAAGTAGCCTATTTCATTCACAAGTCCCCGTCGCGGTCTGGAGCGTCCGACGAAATGCTGATTCAATAACAGGTCATTGTAATACTGGAGTTCCGAGAACTCGTGCTGTAGTTGTAACAATATCATATGGCATAAGTGATCTGCGTTTATGTTCATACATCTTTCGTTTAGATGTTTTAAAAATATTTCAAATGAATTAATTCCTTCCCAATAGGGATCTAGATTGTAATAGACAATTAGTGTCCATTTATCCTGGATTATCTGCATTTTACCCATTGGATCGAAGTAAATAGACTGGTTATTGTTAAAAGTTGTAATATTGTAAGAGCTTGTACTAAATGCAGGTGTAATTAAACATATAAAAAACATTAAACTCATAACGAGAGAACTAAATCTAGATGGTGTGCCTTGTAATTTATTTTCTTTCTTATGGGTTCTCTTCTGTATGACGTTACTCGACCTTTCTTTTTCTTCATTTTGCTGTGGTGATATTTCTACAGGTAATAATGATAATTTACTGATCGGTCTTTTAAGGTTACCGTTTTTTGTTTTCAATGTTACAACTCTTACATGTCCATCGCTCCCGGGGTGAAGTTCCACTACGCGCCCCATTGCCCATTTACCTGGTGGTAAGTTGTCGTCTTGTATGATGACCATATCACCGATTTTCATATTTGGTTGCGGTTGAAGCCACTTACTCCTAATAGATAATTGAGTAAGATATTCAGCTTTCCATCTTTTCCACACTCCTTGAAATATTTGTTTTGTTAGTTGCCATCTTGTCCTGGCATCTTCGGGCGTTTCTATTATGGTAGAACCTACATTTGCAGTTAAAAAGTGTGCAGGTGTCAAGAACTCCAAATCTTCCACGTTTTCAGTTAACGGACACAAGGGTCTTGAGTTTAAGCATGCTTCTATCTGGCTCAATATTGTCGACTATTCTTCGAATGTTAGCTTTTGATCACCAACCACACGCTTCAGATGATGTTTTAAACTACGCACAGCTCTCTCCCATAAGCCTCCAGCGCTTGGCCACGAGGGAGCATTGAAATGCCATTCGATGTTCAACTCTGCAACCTCCACCAAGAAGTTGTTGTTAAATACTTGCTGAAGTTGTTGATATTCTTCCTGCAGGATTCTATTAGCACCCACAAAGTTTGAGCCATTATCACTGTAGATACGACGTGGAGCTCCTTTTCTCGATGCCATGCGACGAAGCGCTGCTAAAAATGCTGAAGTGTTCAAATCTGACACTAATTCTAAATGTATGGCTTTGGTAACCATACACACAAAAACTGCTACATATCCCTTGGTAGTTTTAATTCCTCGCCCTTTACTTGACTTTACTTCCATGAACCCAGTATAATCAACGCCTGTGTGATAAAAAGGTGGTGCTGGATTAACCCTTGAAACTGGTAAATCAGCCATTAATTGATGTTGTGTAGAGGGACTATTTTTTCTGCATTTGACACAGTACCTTAAACGCAATTTAACGGCTCTGTTGCCCCCTACAATCCAATATTTTTGACGTAACCATCCCAAAGTAAGTCGAGGACCACCGTGAAACGTCATGTTATGGGCATGATCTATTAGAAGATCTGTCAATCTACTTTTATGGGGTACTATTATAGGGTGCATCATATCGTGGTGGATGTTAGCATTTTTTAATCTTCCTCCAACCCTAAGTATTCCTTCACTTAAAACCGGATTCAAACTCCGGCTCGAAGGACCAAAAAATGTTCGGGTATTGGACGTATGTTTAATAATAATTAAACTTTTATATAAAAACAGTTTAATAAAGAAGTAAAAAATATAAGATTAAAATATGTTAAAAAATGTTAAATGTTAATGTTATGTTAATGAGCTCGCGTCCGTCGCGGTTACGGTGATTACGTGAACTAACACAATTTTCATAATTGTCGAACTATATCGATTCCTTCACGTTTGAATATCTGCTTGAAATAGTAGCTTAATGCTGCGGTGTATTTCGTATGGTGAGTTTAGAGAACCGTTGACACTTTTTACTCGAAACGAGGCATTTCCATCTTAGTCCTCACGGATGACAACGCATCTGCATTTTGATTCGTAATCGAGGATAGATGTAGATGTCTATGAGCCGCAGCAACCACTTACCATCAGGTGGACTGTGTGCTCGTTTGTCACCCTATCCTATAAAAAAAAAAAAAAAAAAAAACGTAAAATGTTAACGCCAGCAGAAATATACGGTTGGACCGTACAAACTATTATGTACGTTTCGTTTCCCGGCGTGAGACTTGTGTGTTGTTCACGAAGCTACGTCGCTGGATCGGGCTATAAAAGCCATGCAGATCGGTGCGCGCGCGTAGTCGGTCTCGCCCGCATACCCCGACTCCGATATGGAGCACTCGGACACCACGTCCGTTACCTCCTCCTCCCGGAAGAGGTCCGCCCTCAGCTCCTGCTCCTCGGATTCAACTGACTCCGAAGGAACTATAACCGACACAGCCCCATTCACGCTAGTGAAATCAAAGCGCGGCCCGAAGCGCGCCGCGACTTCCCGCACGCCCCCGCCCCAGCGGCCGCCGCCGCCGCCCGCACTCCCTCCGCCGCTGCCTCTACCTCCGCAGCTCCCATCGTTGCCCTTACCCCCCGCAGCCCCAAACGCTGCCGCCTCTCAGTCGAAAGACACTACCGCCAAGCCAGCAACTCGCTGCGCTCCCAAACTGACTAAAAACCAAGTCCCACCCCCTGTCTTTCTCAGAGACAAGGCGAAATTCACTCAGTTGTCCAAAACCCTCTACGATAAGGGTTTCAAATATGACCAAGCCACCAATGTCGGCGAGGCCATCAAAATTGTGCCGGCGTCTATAGAAGACTTCCGGAATATAACCCGCCTATTCACGGCCGAGCGTGTGTCCTATCACACATACGCCCTCGCCGAAGAAAGGAAAGTCAAGGCAGTCCTCCGCGGAGTTCCCTATGAACTCGCAAACGAGGACATTCTGGAAGACCTTAAGTCTCAGGGCTTCCCCATAGAGGCTGTACACAAAATGCACAGAAGTAGGGGCGAAAGGTTTAACCTTGCCCTCCTTGTTCTCACCAATGTGCCGGAGGCGAAGGCCATCTTCCGCGAGGTACGCACTGTGTGCGGCCTATCGCGCGTAAAGGTCGAAGCCCCACACCGGCGCGGTTACCCAGCCCAGTGCCACCGCTGCCAACTCTATAGGCTCGCGGTAGCCAACTGCTCAGCTCCACCCAGGTGCGTTAAGTGCCTAGAACTCCATCACTCGAAAGAGTGCCCCCGGCCCAAAAACGCCGAATCCCCACCCTCATGTGTCCTTTGCGGACAAACAGGCCATCCGGCCAATTTTAGAGGTTGCCCTCGCGCTCCTCGCCCACCTCCGAGCAGCAAAGCTCCACCCCAGGTCAATGACCGAACCTTCCCGGCTCTTGTAAGCCGCAAGCCCAGCCAGGACCAGCCCCTACCTCAGCCCCCCTCAGGGCTCACCTCAGCCCACACAGGGCATCTACCGGCCCCCACAGGGCCTATCGGCCACCTCAGGGCCCTCCTCGGCCCCTTATGAGCCTTCCGCTCTCACAGCCTGCGCCGCTTCCAATAAACCCCTGGTTCCAAAAGGAATCAAATATCCCGCGGCCCTCCGCCGACCCACAAAAACAGGCAGACTCTGTAGTAGAATCTCTAAACCTAGTGTATAACACTCTCAATAGGATCAATTTAGATGATATCCTTATCCTTGCGCGTAAACTGCGCACCGCTCAGTCCCCTCAGGACCGTCTCCTTCCTCTTACTGAGCACATCAACCTATTAAGGTCTTTGTAATTAAACTATGCGTCGTGGTACATGCAATAGGTCGAATGTGAAAAAAATTCAATTTTTCTTTTATGGCATGTTAGCATCCAAAACATGCTTCCACAACGTTTGTAGAAACTCCTATGTCTACCGACCAATCAGAAGCAAGCGTTTGAATTATTTGCAATATGACCAATGAAAGACGTCTTTATTTTGGTTCCTGCAAATTGTCCTATGTCATTGCATTCCGCTGATGCGAGACATAGTTTGTTGTTCAAGAGGTGAATTTACGAATTTAAACTTCATAAATTTGTTGTGTAAGTAATCCATTCTTTTTTCAATATAATTTAACCAACAGACAGTAATAATATGTGTTATTTTTAATCATAACAAAGGAGTAAATTTTAAACTTAATACTAACCTCACTTTTTTTGAGCTTATAATACTTGATTGATTGTGATTCCAAATTATTTTCAAAAAAATAACTAGGTTTATATGATTTATGTTATGATTAACCTTTTTTTGTAAGATATATTTAAACTTTTTGTATATTTTGGTTGACAAAGGAGATTTTAAAATAATCGTATATTGGTAATATGTATTGACATAGGAACTATTGCATTTTTGACAAATTTGTATGTTATTTGTTGCAGGATTAATAACAGAACAAACCTATTATGTCAGGAGCTAGAAGCCGTCGCTTGGTGAAGCTAGCTATTAGTACTAGCACTGGTGTATTCAGCGAAGAACAAGCCAGCTCAGTTAGTTGGCACAGCCTAAGTCAGGAGTCAGGAGGACTCTACGAAAAAAAATGTTGAAGTGACAGCTGGTGCTCAGGTACAATCACCGACAGCAGAATTCATCATAAAACAGCATATTATTAGAGAACAAGAATGGTTTACACATCCCTCCGAAGCCAAACGAACGCCCGAGATTGGGGTGATTACGCCCTCCGGTGAGTTTGTAATGGAATATACAACACAGACCCATCCTGTAGAAACTGAAAGGCACGATAAAAACATGAAAAATCAATTAGACACTGATTTTAGTTCAGGATCGGATGAATTATACGCCCCACCTGAAAGTGAGAATGACAGAGAGGTACAAGCAGATGATTGTGTTGGATCAGTCATTGAAATTTCAATTCAAGATGGCCTGGTGGCTAATGTAACGTCACAACAACAGTCGCAATCGATATCGGACACAGACAAAAATATTCCAGATCAAGAACAACCAAAACCAAGAAAACGTAAAGGTCAAGTTAACACGAATGCGTGGAAGAGATTTAAAAATGCTAAGTTAAGATTAGAGGGAAAGTCTTATGTTGGGTTTGGAAAACAGAAAAGTGGTAAATACAAGCAAAATAAAATAAAAGAAGTTAAATGCTTAGGTCCAAGATGTAATGGGCATCCACAGCCGACAACAGTTAAAGGAGGCCCAAAACAAGATTTCAAATATACGATCAGTGAGGATCTCACATTCACACTTGAATCTGTCATCTTGGGAGGCTAAAAAAGTTTACGTCACTGGGTGTGTATTGCGGGCACGTCCAAAGTATAGACGAAAGACTACTGATATTACCACTTCAAGAAAAAACACTAGCTTTACATTCTACTTAAGTATGAAGGAAAATGGAGACGATGTGAAGAAACGTGTATGCCGAAATATGTTTATAAACACTTTAAGTATTGGTGAGAAGACGGTACGCTCATGGACATTATCAGATCAACCCAGTACAAGCCTTGAAAACGAAGATCATCAAGCGCAGGTCCGACGACAAAAATCAAACATGGTTAAGAATGTAGAGGAGTTTCTGAATTCACTGCCTAAATTAGAAAGCCATTATTGTCGAGCATCATCCAATAAACACTACGTTGAGTCTTTGTGGTCTAGTCTAAGAGAGATGTACCGCTTTTATAAAGATGAGTGCCAAATACAAAACAAACTTGCATCATCCTGGAAAACCTTCTACAATACTTTGAAATTTATGAACTTAGACCTTTATATTCCCAAAAAGGATCAATGTAATACATGCACACTGTATAAGACAGGAATATGCGATGAAGAAACATTCCAGAAACTTGAGCAAAAGAAACTATCAGCAAGAGAAGAAAAAATGACGGACAAAGAACGATGCATTAATTGTCCTAATACTGCAACATATACCGTGATCTACAGGCGGTGCTATTGGCTCTAAGACTAAATGCAAGTGCAAATTACTATAAGACTAAGTTGAAGGTCCACAATGAGACCTTCTTCAACTTAAGTACTAAAGATGCCGTATGCTATGTTTGGCACGAAGCAGTGGCAGGGATTGAAAGTGATGTATTTGCATCCATTTATACAGACTTTTTAAAAAAGGCAATAGAAAAAAAACGTCTCGAAAAAATTACTATTTGGAGTGATGGGTGTGGATATCAGAACCGAAATATCAAACTATCTAATGCACTACTTGAATTGAGCATTAAAACAAAAGTAATAATAGAACAAAAATATTTGGAAGTTGGACACACCTTCATGGAAGTGGACTCCATTCATTCTACTATTGAGCAGAAATTGCGCAATCGGAGAGAAGTCTATACACCTGCAGACTACATTCCTATAATTCAATCTGCAAGACAACGTCCGCGTCCCTATGAGACAATTTACTGTAGTAGTGATGATTTTTACGCTTTTCAGGCAGTATACTACAAAAGTATCCGCCCTGGCAACAAAATTGGCGATCCCTGTGTTAACGATGTGGTTGCGTTTCAGTATACACCTAATGGAATTATTCATTACAAACTGCGCTTTCAAGACGAATGGGCTGAATTGCCTGTACGACCGAAACGTTTAGAATCATTGCCAGACCATCCCAAACTGTACACAGGGCCAATTCCAATTGAAGCTTCAAAATACACCCACTTGCAAGAACTAAAAGAATTGATTCCACAAGATTATCGTCAATTCTATGAGAATTTAGTTCACAAATAAATATGATCTTATCTAATAAATAAAAACTTTAATACCTACATGTTTTTTTCTTGTTTCTATACTGAAATCAATTCTACCTATGTGATCAAAATGGGTACAAAATACAGACGCAATATGCCCTATGTCAACTTTTCACAAAAACTGTTAAATCAATAACCACCATTGTAATATTTTATAATGTAACATCCAATTTTAGTACTAAATACATTATCACAAATCATATTTAACTAACATAAAAATAAAAAAACAGTTTTTAGTCCTTCCTGTAAAGTCGTACCTAGCTCACATTCGACCTATTGCATGTACCGCGACGCTATGGCGGAGCCCTCTGCTCCCGCAATATCTCACGGTCGTATAAAACCAAAGGGTTTGTCGCTTGTTTCATTCAATATCCGCGGTTTGCGAAATAACCTCCCAGAGCTTAGGCTATTTCTTCGAGATCGCGAAGCCGATCTCCTCCTCCTACAGGAGACCCATCTCGGCCTCAAGGTCTCTAAAGGCCTTACGATTAAAAATTATTCACTTCTACGTAACGATAGACCCGACCGCAAAGGCGGCGGTACTGCCATCTATTACAAAAAGTCCCTTCATTGCTCCCACATATCTACTCCGTCGCTTACCAGTATGGAAGCCACTATCACTAGATTAGCTATGACTGGACACCAGTCAATCATTATAGCCTCTTGCTATATCCCTAGCGGAACCCTCCCCCGTTAAGAGTGATTTCGAAGCCATCCTTGCATTAGGCGACTCAGTCATTATGTTTGGAGACTTTAACTCCAAGCATACTGAATGGACCTGCAGCACTACTACCAGTAGTGGCAGGGTGCTACTCAATATCACTCAGTATCTCGACCTGACTGTCTACAGCCCCCCTCACTGCCACCCACTATCCCGACATTGTTAACTACGCTCCTGATGTGCTAGATTTTGCTCTAGTTAAAGGAGTCTCCCTTAACCTTAGAGCAATCGAGTCTCTCGATGATCTAGGATCCAACGACCGTCCTGTATCCCTCCTTCTTGGCCATCAGCCATCTCCAACTCCCACTTCCAAAACCTACACCAACTGGAAGGGCTTCAAGAAGTCTCTAGCCTCGGCTATAGACTCTCCGGACCCTCCCATAACCCTTTCTTCCGACGCCCTCGACAGTACGGGGAAAATAGACACCGCGGTCGAAAATCTCACCTCACTTATAACATCCTCTCTTAAAGAGAATGAAAAAGTTGTCCCGGTTGCTAAAACTAGTCTTCCCCTAGATATTAGCAACCTGCTAAAAGCCAAAAAAGCTGCCCTACGTAGAGCTGCACGCTACCCCACTCCCGAATATAGACTCGCGGCCCACCGCCTTCAACGCAAACTGCGTTACCGCCTTCAAGATTACAGAGACCACGAAAAGAGCAATCTCATGGAGAAAATCTCTCCCTCCCATACAGCGTACTACCAGATGGCGAGAGCCCTCCGGATAGACGCTATAACGCATACTCCCCTCTGTCTCGTCCCGACGGCTCAATGGAGCCTTCAAGGACGAAGAAAAGGCTGAGTGCTTCGCAGACAGCGTCGCCGCTCAATGCTCTCCTAGCTCACAACCCACTGACCCCTTACACATCCAACTAGTGGAGGACGAGGTCCGTCGCAGGAACTCGCCCCCTACCGCCTCTGACCCTATCACTGTGTCCAAAGATGAGATTTCATCTACCATCAAAGGACTTAAGCCCAAAAAAAGCACCGGGTGCGGATGGTATCTCCAACCAAGCCCTCAAACACTTCCCGGAGCAGGTAATCGCCTTACTGGCCCTTATCTTTAACGACTGCTTCGAATTCAGTTACTTTCCCACCTCTTGGAAAGAGGCAACTGTCATTGGCATTCCCAAGCCAGGCAAACCTCACCACCTCCCCTCCAATCACCGTCCCATCAGCCTCCTCAAGGCCATGGGCAAACTTTTCGAACGAGTTATTCTTGTGCGCTTGAGGCGCCATTTGTTTCCCACAGACGGCGACCCTCTTGTCATCCCACAACAATTCGGGTTTCGAGCCAAACACTCGTGCCCCCAGCAAGTTCACCGCATTGTGGAATACATCCTCAGCGGTTTTTATCCTCGCCGTCAAAAAACCATCGCGGTCTTCTTTGACATTGCCAAGGCATTCGACAGAGTCTGGCACGAGGGCCTTATCTACAAACTGTATGACTTAGGCCTCCCGGACCGTCTCGTTCGCCTTGTAGCCTCCTATCTGTAGGATCGTACCTTTCGCTTTAGACACGAAGGCACGCTATCCTCTACTCGTCAAATAAAAGCCGGTGTCCCTCAAGGCTCTGTGCTTGCTCCCCTCCTATACATAATATTCACCAACGACATCCCTATCCCGTCGAATGGTTTTAAACTAGCCCTCTTTGCAGATGACACAGCCCTTTACTCTAAAGGCAACTCACTACCACAGATTCGGAACAAGATCCAAAAAGTCAGTAAGCGACTTAGGAGCTTGGTTCCAAAAATGGCGTATCGACGTAAACCCGGAGAAAAGCTCCGCCGTTTGCTACAAATATAAACGACGTCGTTTCACCACCACTCCGCCAATCAGGATGTTAGGAACCCCTGTCCCATGGCAAACTAAAGCCAAATACTTAGGCGTCACCCTTGATGCAAGGCTCACTTTCGAGCCCCATATCAAGAAGGTTACTCGCACCGCACGTTTTTACATGGATAGGCTCAACAGCATGTTGGGCAGACACAGTAAAATGTCCCTCCGCAACAAGCGAACCCTTTATAAGATCTGCATACGACCTGTCATGACCTACGCAGCCCCCATTTTCGCACATGCTAAGCCCAAAGCTATAAATGAACTTCAAATAGTCCAAAATCTATTCTGTTGTAGGGCCACTAACTCGCCCTATTATGTCCGTAATGCCGACCTACATCGAGACTTAGAGCTCCCAACAATCCAGCAGTTCCTTAAATCACTCTCTGAGAGATTTTTCAAAGCCTCAGAGTCCCACCCAAATCATCTCATTCGTGAGACAGCTGCCTATGCAGCCCCTATCCACACTCGCTATAGTGTGCGCAGACCGAGAAACTCTCTCTCGGACTCCCCAACAAGCTTTCGGCTGACCTGAACTGCCTCCTGGCGGCTCAGGCCGAGCCTACATAACAAATCCCTTAATCTGCCTTAGTTAGGCACTCTTCTAGGCGGCTTTTCGCCGCTAGCGCCCTCCTTTCTACCAAGGAGGGTCGCGTTCGTATACGGCTTAGAGATCTCTAGTCAGATCGTTAAGCAACTTCCTAAAAGGTTGAGTTTAGTGGGTAAAAGTCACCACATAACCACGCAGCCGGCTGCGTGGTATGCTATGAGCATTCTTAACCTCCCTCCCCCGCTTTCCGGAGGGTTGCCCATATTTGCTTCGGGCGCAAAAAAAAAAGTGCGCACGCGTCGTCGGTGAGAGGCGGCGGCGTGGAATACAGCTCCGGAACAACAAAAAGAAGCGAGCTGCGGCGTTGAAGAAACGGCTCACCATTGGTCGACGGATACGTGACGATAGCGGCGTGTGAAGTCGATGTGGCGCTGAATGATATTTGCGGCTGCTTCTTGTTTCTTTATAAGAACGTCAAATTATCTATATGCAGTCCGCAGTATCTCAGTAGCCAGGGATAGTTAGGAAATAAATGTTTTTTATCCTCAACTTCCGCGTTATGGTAGCAGCAGAGTATATATTATTTATTCCCGTTTAAGGTTGATTAGTCTGGCTGCTACATTCGCTATAACTCATCCTCATGTTATTTATATAGAAGGGAGCGAACTACCTCCTTACTCTAAATAACATTATAATGTTTGTGCTCAAAAAACGGCGAACTGCAGCGTGCAGAAAAATCTTATATAGGTTTATGTTGCACTGTACTTATGAACTACGTATTTTATTTGTTGTAAAAAAAATGAAATAAAAAATGTACCTTCGGCACTTATGATGTGCCTCCTATCTTCTGCTCCTTAAAGTCCATTTGGAATAAGATTTTTGATTTATTTCCTCTCGGAATACAAAGTAGGGCTAGGGTAAGGTACCTACTAGATTAGAAACGAAAACAAAACAAAGCAAACGATAAAGACAAAAAGTCTTTCTCGCAGTACCATAACCTAATTACTATCCTAATTACACAAAAAAAAATAAAACAATGGGTAAGCGTTTTCTTCGCGGAAACATTCACAAAAATACAAGTATATAATATAAAATAGTAATACACTAAGTACAGGTTGCTCTAAGATGCTATTTTTTAATTTGAAGTAAATCCGTAAGTAATAACGTTTAACGAAAAAATAATTTCTTAATGAAACAAAAATGTAAAAACGTATATTATCTGTGTTAAAACAAAGTTACCATTGTAGCGGTACGTTGAATATGACTTATCCTCTCGGCACTTGCAATAATGATGACTGTTCTTAACTTCATCAAATATGCAGATACTGACAGTCTGCTATCTACTTGACAGTCCCGGAACTTCAGACAGAATTTTTTAACATTGTGCCTTCGTTCGACAAACTTAAAGCCTAGACAATAATGTACAATATGCTCAGGCATACTGTGAATGTTTTCAAAGTCTATATGATGGTGCTTATTATCTTTCAATAATGTAGCAAAATATTCTTTGTGCACTGCACTGAACGTTTTAAAGCAATATTTTTAATCTGGAGATGTAATCTTAGATAGAGGCTTTAGGGATTCATGGCCTCTTTTAGAACGTTGTGGTTACCAGGTTCACGCACTTCTATCTCACGTTAGTCGGTATGTAAGCAGTGCGGGATCGGTTTTATCGTTATACACTGTACCAAAAACTTACCAAGCGCCTATTTCATCAAATAAAATTCCAGTTTAAATAGACCATTTCATTTTAATGAACTAATATTTTTATACCTAAACTTTACAATCCAGGATTACAAAATCAAGTTTTGGGTTCGATTCCCACTTTGGCATATGTTTGGTAAGTACTTGGTTTATGATGTTTCATATATTTAC